GTCTGGCACCAAAACCTCGAAGGCCACCCCCGGGGCCAACAGAATGACGGACACTGGGGGCAGGGGGCGGCAAAGGATAGAAAAAGGGGGCGAAGTATAACAGCGGAAGGGGGGCGCGAGCGGCGCACCGAGCAAGAGCGGAGAGAAATGAAGTTATTCGGATCATCATACCAAGGAAAGGGCGAGGTTGATGACTGATTCAAGGCTCTGACTTTGCACGCGCAACCGATCTCCCCCATGGTCGCGCCCATGGTGGCCAGCTGATCGTCGCCCAGCCGGATGGCCGCCAGGCCCATGGAGGTCGTCTTCCAGGAACAGCGCGATCGCCGCTGAAAAATCGCAAAGCAAGCTCGACATAGAAAACCTCCAGGTCGCCCTTGAAAGCCCCCGCGCCAACCGCGTCCACCACGCTGGACGTGGCTCGAACTGGTCTCGTGTTCTCGCGTTTGGGCCACCCTTCCAGTGGGGGTTCTTGCCGCGCGCCTTGCAATTCGCGCGCGCATTGATCTTCTCGAGCATATCATCGGCCTCCTTGCTATCCGTCTTGACGGAAGCCGTCTTTTTGATGATAGCCTCCTTGCCTCGAGTCGACTTGCTCCGAGCTTGCTGCCCCCGGGCCTGCCTGCCTGTAGTCGGGCTGGCCGTTTCAGCGCCCAGCCTTCCATCCAAGAAATTTAGCCTGTGGCGCCAGAGCATCGCGTTTCTACTGGCTGCTCTCCTCAACATCAAGGTCGCCAACGACTCCCTGGAACTCGTCGATGTCGTCGGCGGCCAGGGCCCTGGAATCCGAGTCGCAGAAGGTGCCCCAGTTGTCGCGCGATCCACCGTGATCTCCCAAAAGAGCATCTTCTGAGTATTCGTACTCTGCTGCGTGAGCTTCCTACCGCCCACACCCGCGATCTTATCTACCAGCGACGTCTAGCTGGGCCTGCATCGCGGCCGCCATGTCGCCCCAGATGCATTCGTTGCTGCACTGCCCGGCGATGACCTCATGCTCGGCCATGCTGATACTTGCCAACTTCAACCAAACGTATGTTCGCAGGTTCTCGCCCGCCATCGCATGTGCTGACAGCGACTTCAACCTCTCACACTCCGCCTCTCGCCTTGAAGCGTATCCCCGCACGGACCCCGATCGATGCCGGATGCCCTCGAAGAGAAACTCGTCGAGCGACTGCTGCTGTTGTAATGGCGCGATCCTCTCGCACGCCGGTCGAACCGTCGCCGCCACCAGCTGTGTTGCAGCAGAGGGGTCATCACATGCTCTCTGCGGCCTTTCTCCGCGCAGCATTCCATGCCCTTCCATTGAATTCGCTCTTGAGCATGATGGCGTAGAGCTTTGGAATATTCTGCTCACTCGCACGGTTGCCAAGAATCGCTCTCTCTTCGAACTCCTCTCCGCAGGCAAGTTCGCCATGATAATGAACCACGCTCTCGTTGTCCAAGTAGAAGGGTCCGTCCTGGAACTGCCGCTTGGACGTCGACATCTTGTCAAGTATACTGCAGCTGCTGCACGCATTGTAGCTGATGCTGTTTTTGCAATCGCCCCGGCTGTTGCTTCCGCTGTAGTCGAAGCTGCTGGTGATGAGGCCCCTGGTGGTGATGAGCCGTCGATGGTATGGGGTGCGCTGTGGAGTGCACGAACGCGAGAATGAGCGCCAGTATGAAATCTTGCACGGCCACGCTATACGAAATCCTCGCAGACATGGATTGGAAACTGCGCACGCGATTTACCCGTGTGACCGGCAGTCAACATTTCCAACCCACAGTTCTTGATGCGAGAGAAGTAAATCAGACAATAATATCCTTATATGCCGTGCTCAGGCGATGTCGTGAGTAAATGCGCCCACCCTCCCGCCCAGCTGTGAGCCGAATGGCGAGAGGAAGCACCAAGCATGAGCGAAAGAGAGCAACAGCAGCATATCACTATCATGCCAAATCTGCATACTTATGTGCATTTCACAATGCGACTCCCCCAAGGGCGATCACCCCGGGGGGGTGGTCCCCGGGGGGGGCGTCCCAGCAGGGTGCGGGGCCTGGGGAGGTCTTGGGGGGCCGCCACCCAAATACGCCTCCCTCTCGGGGGGGCCCAGGTCCAGACGCCTTCACAGCCTCCTGAGGGCCCATGAGGCCTGCAAAACGCCCCAAGAGGCCTCCAGGAACACTCCCAAGAAGGCCCCTAAGAGGTGTTCTCGCTTCTTCCGCTTAGCGACGCTCCAAGACGGCCCAACAGGTCCCCAAGATCGTCTTGAGATGGTTAAAGTCCTCCAAGAGAGCCCTGATATGGCCCAAGAGTGCCCCAAGACGGCCCGAGCCGCCTCCAGGACGAGCCGAGAGGCACCCAAGACGGCTCCAAGAGGGCGCCCAGACGGGGGGCCCGAACGGACATCTCGAGCCATCGCTCCCAGAAAGCTCACAGGAGGCCCCAAGAGGGCTCGAAGACGCCCCCCGAAAGCCCCCAAGAAGCCCCTGAAGGCCTCCAAGAGGCTCCCAAGAGGACCCCCAAGAGTCTCCCAAAACGCCCCCAAACTGCCCACCAGAGGCCCCCGAAAGCGCTCCGAAGAGACCCCGACAAGCATCCCCTCCTCCCCCTGCTCCTCACCCTCCTCCTCCTCCTCCTGTTCCTCCGCCTCGTCTTCATCGTCCTCCACCTGCTCATTGCGCTTCTCGACCTCCTTGTGCCCAAACTCCCCCTCCTCATGCTCCTCCGCATGCTATTCCTCATCCTCCCCCTCGTGCTCCACAGCGTTCTCCTCCTCCTCCTCCTCCTCCTCCTCCTCCTCCTCCTCCTCCTCCTCTTCCCCCTGCTCTTCCTCCTCCTCCTCCTCCTCCTCCTCCTCCTCCTCCTCCTCCTCCTCTTCCTCCTCCTCCTCCTCCTCACCCTTTCCCGCCTCCCCATGCCCCTCCTTCGCATCCTCCTTTTCATCATTCTCATCCTCCTGATCATCATCCTCCTACTCCTCATCATGCTCCTGATCATCCTCCTCATCCTCATCATGCTCCCCCTACTCCCCCGCGTGCTCCTCCCCGGTACGCCGGTACGCCGTAACCTTATCTCGACTTCGTCCTTCCCATCCTCCTCTCCTCCTCCTCCTCTCCTCCTCCTTCTCCTCCTCCTCCTCCTCCTCCACCCCCTCCTCATCGTCTTCCTGCCCCTCGTCCTCCGCCTCCTCCTCGTCCTCCTTCTTCTACTGCTCCTCCGACTCCAATTGACCTCGTCGCCCTACTGCTCCTTCCCCCCTCGCCCTCCCCCTGCCCCTGCTCCTCCTTTCTCATCCTCCTCCGCATCCTCCTCCTCCCCCTCCTGCTGCTCCACCGCGTCCTCCGCCTCCTCCTCCTCCTCCTCCTCCTCCTCCTCCTACTCCTCCTCCCCCTCCTCCCCCTCCTCATGCTCGTCCTCCTCGTCGTCATTTTCAGGCGGCACAGGCCGTAAGTCTTTCACAGTGGTTCACAGTGGTCAAGCTTCTCAGTGGCTTCAAGATACTCCCAAAACGGCGCGAAATGATCCCGAGGCTGCGCAAGATCTCCCCCTCGATGCCAAACTCATGGACCATTGCCTGTTCTGTCAGAGCGTCCAGGACGGCCCCGAAGGACCCCGAGGTCGGCCGAGAATGGCCCAAATAGGCCCCAAGAGCGGCCCAAGACGAGCCCAGCACGCCCAAGGCGTCCCAAGACAGCCCAAGATGAATCCAAAGCGGTCCCAGAGGAGCCCCAGACACCCCAACAGGAGCTGCAGACCGGGCCCAGGACGGGGAGGACCCAAGAGGCCCGCCTGCCCGCCCACCAGCCTCGTCCCTGCTGGCCCTGGCCTGAAAGCCTGCGCGTTCGTCGTCATCTGCCCGCTTCTCCCTTCAGCCACCCACTCCCTCACCAGGCAGCACAGCCTGCCTCGACAAAGGCCACCAAGACAGCTGAATGGCTCCACGTCTGTAAGTGACGTATTGGCGGAGGCAGGTCGCGGAGCGGAGCGGAAGCCCTAATACAACAGATCCTGTACATCGACTTCGTGCTCAAATGCGATGTATCAAATGATTAAACCATTGCTACATATCGTATTACGTAACACTAATATGTCTCCCCCCCTTTACCCCCCCGCCCCCCGAGGCCACGCCACTTCCGTCGACCCAAAGATGGAGGACCATACTGGGCCTCGACAACCTACCAAAATCAATGGCACATCTATAAGTTCGCCCTCTTGGGAACCCAAGACAGCCTCAAGATGGTTTAAGATGGCCTCGAAACCCGCCAAGATGGCCCCAAAATGGCCCAAGGTGGTCCCAAGAGGACCCATGAGACCCCACAAGAGCCCAAGAGAGCCCAGAGAGGACCCCAAAGAGCACCTCCAGAAGCAAACATAGATGTTCCATTGGTCTTTAAAGGAGTTAGGGTCCTCGCCATTTTCGGATCTCAGAAGGCCCACGGAGTTTCCAAGAAGGCCCAAGGACGGACGGCCCAAGAGGCACCCAAGGGGCCCCAATATGTCCCACGAAAGCCCCAAAACTACCAACACATGCCCCCAGACGTTCCAAGAGGCCACCAGGCCCAAGGCTGCCCAAGAGGACTCCAAAAGAGCCCCAAAGACTACCTCTGAAGGGGCCAGACGGCGCAAGAGGGCCCCGAGGCGGCCCTAAACGCCCCCGAGAGGCCCTTGTAAGCCTCCAAGGAGCCCCCCTTAGGCAATCAGCAATGACGCGTTGCCCTAGGCAGGTCGCGGAACGAAGCGGAAGCCCTAATGCGAAGCATCTGCGGAGAGATAATTCAACGTAAACCACGTGTCCAATGATTACACACTTTCTACATCTCTGCACAGATTCTACTATCTCACACTACTTAGTACCCCCTCTACCCCCCTGAGGCCACGTCACTTCCGTCGACTCCAAAGTGGAGGGCCCCTTCTGGGCTTCAACAATTACGAAAAGATGTGGACAATCGATGGTCCTCCTCGTCCATGGCGTCATCCTGGCAGCAGTGCGACTCCCAGATCCAACCCCCCCGCTTGGCACCCGCAGGATCTTCTCAAGCTCCTCCCTCGCGGGCGCCATGCGGTCGGCGCTGCTGCTGTCCACTACGAAGATTATGCCACAGACACCTCTCGGAGAGCGGGAAACACGACAACAGAGCGGCCCCACCGTCCATCGCCAGACCGGCCTCGCGCCTTCGACCGCGGCACGCCCCAGATAGCAGAGAGTCCGCAGTGAGCATGAGAGCGACGCCAAGAAGGCATGCCCCCAGGAAATCCATCCAGGCCCCAAGCCCTAGACCACATCGTTCACGCAAGACTTTATCCCAAAACTGTGAGGGCTGTCGTGCTCCTTGGTTGAACCCATCGAGCCGCGTCACTGTAAGCCCGAAGCGTGTCGTTCGTGCCGTGCGTACTTTGCTGCGGGTGACGTGCGCGCCAGGCCGTGCAATGCGTTCCTGGCCGAACACAGCTTACTCCATACCGGGCGGGCAAATGCACCGACGCGCGTTCAATAATCACACGGAAATAATCCCACTGTTCTTGCCGACGATGTCACGAATTTCCAGTGCCTCCTAAGCCTCTGGCCCCACGGCCGCTGCCAGGGCAACATCTAGCTCCAAACATCCCGCGATCGCCGCCCTGATGCGTGCGCAAGCCGTGCCGTGCTACGCCGTGCACGTCAGCGCGCCATACCGTGCAATGCTTTTCATCCTCTTCTGCAGCCTCTTGCATACGGTCGGCCCTTGGAGCGCGCATTGCCCGTCTTTCATGGTCGAACTTTCCCGTTACCTGACGCCCCGTGTGTGGAGCTCGGGCGCACCCCGCACCGCCACCCTTCCAACAACCAAGAAAGAACAAACGCGCCGTGGGTCCGCGGCGCCAGCTCTCCGCTATCTGAAGCCCTCGCCCTGGTCCAGCCCCCATCCGCTGCCGCCTTCCTCTGGCGCTGCGACGAACATAAAAACATCCGTGGTTTCTGGGCACCAGTTTTCTGGCCCCGGCTCTCTCTGCTCGAACAGGGGCTGAATCTGAGCTGAGACCCTCGGATGTGCAGCTGGCTGCGACATGGCGCGAAGGTCGCCACGTGGAAGCCCCAGGCGGCGACGACTGGAGCACGGAGGAACGAAACAGAGGGGGGGCGGCGCAGGGGAGCAAGGGGAAGGTGCGAGGAGGAGGAAGGACGAGGATGGACGAGACGACGCGACACGCACACCATCAACGCCATGTTATCCGATTGCCCAGCGAGTGTTGTATTCGCTTTTGTTTGCCAAACCGCGCAGCAATGAAGCGATGAAAAAGAAAGGCGAAGACGAGGGGAAAACTAGAATTGCGGGGGGTGGAAGCTGTACGAGAGAAAGCACGCCGGCAAAAAAGATGTTGAATGCACTGCTTAATTATCCGTGCAATGTACAAGTATGCGTCGACGCTCGGGCCAAACAGCGGCGCCCCTTCCTATTTGAGTCGGAGTTGCGCGGGCGATCGAACAGCTCTGGCGGACAGGCAAGAGAGACCGAAGGAAGAAGGGAACCAGAATTGTCCAACCACCAACACATTCTAGACCCGGCAGGGAAACGCCGTCGCTGTCGGACCTGACGGGCGCGCGACGCGGCGGAGCGCGAACCCTACCTGTAGCAAGCAGCTCGCTCGTGCTCTTAAGAGCGGCACTGGCGGAGCTCGCGCGCGTGAGTGATGATGGTGCGAGCTTCCCCGCGCCGCAGGGCGCATGATGTTGATGACCTCGGGCCGTAGACGCGATGTCTGACAGCCTGTCCTGAGACTTTGGAAGGCGGTGACCCTGGGGCCGCGCGAAGGGCGAGGGAGGTATAATGCCTTGACCTGGGAGGCGCAAGAGAAGGTGATAGATGGAGATGGGCCGCGGGGGATGCGCGCACCATTTTGCCAATTGCGAACCGAGGCTCACTGCGGGCACTATCCGCGGGGGCCGGCCGCTCCGATCACAACCACCGCGGGCGACCTCCTGGGCGGGCGCGCCGAGCTCGGCACCGCCCTTGGACGAGGGCGGCTACCGCGGCTCGTCGGCGCCAGCCGCGCGGAGGGCCGCGCCGGCGCATGACCTTCTCCCCGGCCCTGCGGGCATTTTTTCCCTCTCGGGAAGGTCGGCGGCGTCGTCTGGCACGGGCTCGCTCTGGCTCTTGTCCTTGCTCCTGCCCTTGCCCGTGCCAGCTTTCGCCCCAGCGCGCCCGCGGGGGCCGACGGACGCTGCGGCTGGCGTCCTCGCCCAGAACGGGCGCGGGGTCGGCGGGCGAGGTAGCGCCAGCCCCCAGCCCAAGCTGCGAGCCGCGCTGGCCGCGTCGCGCGCAGCCCCGCGAGAGAACGACCGAGGCTGAACCTTTGGAGACAGGAGGCGACGAGGTGGAGCGCGCGGCACGCGCTCGCCCGAAGGCGACGGGGAGCGCGACGCACGCGGCGACAGCGCCAGCGGCCGCATGTAGCCAGGCGGCCTGCTCTTGGACGAGGGCGCGCCGAGCAACGCGTCGTCGCGCCAAGCTGGCAGATCCCGACCGATCCCGGGCAGCGAGCCGACGTCTGCGAGCGCCCAAGAGACCGGCAGTCGGCCCTCTGCTGAGGGCTCCACGAACTCCACAGGTGGCACAGCTTCACCGTGAGCATCACAAGCAGGAATGCTGAACGGGGCATTCGCGCACGTCGGCCTGGCGTCGCTCGCACAGCCCATGACCCTGCGCGCCCGGGGTCGGCAACGCGCCGCTGGCGCGCGAACTGCAACATCTTCGTCGCTTTTGGTGAGCGGATAAGCGCCCTCCGCGAGTGCCGAGGCCGGCGCTTCGGGGGGCGGCAGAGCACTCGGCGGGCTCGGCGCGAGTGCGGATGCCATGCCGGCGGGCATCAACCGAGAGTGAGACACGGCAGCCGCGCGGCGTCAGCGCGGAGACAACGGGCGCGAGCAGGGCCGGGGAATCTCTGGAGCCCGAGCGTGGCCGTGAGGAAGAGACGGAGTTGAAATAACACGCCTTACCTCGTTGGCGCGCTGCGCCCGGCGTTCCATTTGACAGACTTGCGACCTGCCCAGCGGAGGCATCAGCGGACGCGCGCCAGGAGGACGGACCATGATCAGCTGCCCCATTGGGCCACCGACTCTCGCTCCTGCGCCTAGAGGGGGCGTCGGAGATCGAGCACGCAGCGCGGCTCGACCCGCGGGCGCTGCCGCGAGCGCCACGCCCCCTGACGACGCCACTTCCTCCGCGGGCGACAAGGATGACGAGGGCGCCGAACGCGAGCGGCGAGGCGGCGGCGGCCCAGGGGGGGCCGGGCGGCTTGCCCCGAGGCATGCTGACGCGCGCGCGCGGCAGCGGGTGGCCGCAAGCGCCCGGCCACGCGCGCAGGGGCTTCGCGCGCGGGACTGGCGGCGCGCAAACCACGGGCGGCCCAGCGCGCTCCAGCCCGGCGGCGCACGAGCCTGCTGATGCGAGAATGACAGCGGCATCGTACATGTTCATCCCTGATCCTTCTTGCCACATCCATATCCGAAGTGCCCGCGCATATGCCCACCCGCACGCATGCCGCAGTGCTGACCACCGCAACGACGAAACTCCCGACAACATGCTCTCCCAAACCGCTGCGCTGCACCGCCCTCTCAACCACCACGTGCCACGCGACAGACCTTCCGAAAGATTTGTGGGCGAGGAGGACCAATGGTCCCGAAGAGACCGGAACGCAACGCAGTTTCTATACGCATGATGATATGTGCTGGCTGTCGGAGGTCGGCTAGCGCCCGCGCCCTGACAGCGCGGCAAGCTTGCCAACCGAGGCGAGGGTGACTGTGCACGGCGTGCGCGACCGCTGGCGAGGGCCACCAGCCACGTCACGGGTGGCAGGTCTACCAATGCTGCCCTCAGTAAGTCCATCCGCGATCACGTCGCAGGTCCCCGGCACAGGGCCCATAGTTGGCCCGAGCTCACGAGGTCGCGGAGCCAGAGCACGCGCGGCAGTGTCGAGTGCTCTGCCAGAGGCTTGGGTCCCGCAGTTGCGACGGCGTGACCACCCCCATCGAGTCGAGGCAGAATTCAATTTGCAGCGCGAGCGGCTGCTGACCATCCCGCTGGCGACGCGCAAATGCAGGGCAACGAGGTCCTCCGAGCACTTCATGGAGTGCGGTGGCCAGAGCGAGGTCGCGATCAGTTGAACTGATCGCGGCCATCAGCTCACTTGTAGAAGTTCTTCGCGCAACCATTGCATGCGCTCCGCACTGCCAGCCCAGCAAGTGAAACGCTTGCTTCCAGCGCCCGCGCGCAAGATGGCGGTTCCTCGCGGGGCTCGTCCCGGGTCGGCGCCTTCTGTTCATTCCGGGATGCTGCATCGCTGTGTATTTCGAACTTGCGTGAGCACTGCATGGGTGGATAATGGATCCGCACTGGCGTGGCCTGTGCCAACCTCGCGCGCGTGTTGAGCTCCCGCATGCGGCTGCGCGTTGGCGCCGCCGCGCGGCTTTGAAGTGCGACTACGTAGACGTGCAAGCCGATTCGCGCGACGAATGTAAAACCCAATACCATGAGCAGACTGATGCGCAGCTTGGCCAGGTTCTCCGACGCGACCTCGGAGTTGGGCGTGCCATCTAGGCCCAGCACTTCGCATTGGATTCACTGCCTGAATGTGCTCGGTCTGATCCAGCTCATAGCCGCCGTTGTGCACGGGGGAATGACGCGCCCCATGGCACGTGACATTACCTTTCACTAACATCCGGCTCACCCTTACCAAAGGCATCCTCCAGACATTGACGTAGCTTGGTCTTTTCCTGCCGTGATCCTTGGACCCTGATGTCGCCGCCATGTTTGGTGGCCGGTAGATCGACTCACCAATTTTTGTTCGGAGATCAACATGTTGCCGCAAAGTGTCGGGGTGGCTTGGAACATGTCATTGGTGATCCTGGTGAATTTCCTGCGCCAGCATCTCGGGCATCTTTGCACCCGGCGCCTGGTTTCTGCATGCGGGGAACTTCAAATGCTGGGTCGGACTCTGGGCGCCCCCTCACTGTGTGCAGGACTGGTGAGCCGGTATGAGGGAGAGCTCAAATGTAACCTCGCGCTCTTCCTCGCCTGCCCCCCCCGCAAGTTCCTGGTAGCCGGCGCCTTTTCAGCGAGGCCTCGCTG